CTCCCCCCTCACCTGGCAGTTTCCCACTACTGCCAATCACTTTCTTATAGTATTATGATAATTGTTTAAGGTCTACTTATGAGTGAGAACATGTGGTACTATGTTTATTTTTCGTTTAAAAAATATAATCAAATTGCTTTTTATAAATGTATAAAATTTTTCTTCAACTTCATTGATTTTTTCTTCTCAATTATTTTTTTTTCTTTCTGCTTTGTTGGGTTGTGCTGCTCTTTTAATAACTTCTTGATTTAAAATCATGATTCATTTATTTTCCATTTTCCTTGTTTCCAAATGCATATGTAATATAAATTTGCCTCTGAGTACTACCTTAGTTGTATTCTGTCTCTCTATCTATAGGCTTAATAATCAATTTATAAATATTTAGGGATTTCTACTCTTTTTTTTTTTAGTTGGAGTCTCACTCTGTTGCTCAGGCTGGATTGCAGTGGCATGCTCACAGTCACTGCAGCCTTGACTTGCTGGGTTCAGGTGATCCTTCCACCTCAGCCTTCCAAGTAGCTGGAATGACAGGCATGTGCCACCATGCCCAGCTAATTTTTTGATTTATTGTAGAGAAGAGGTCTCACCAAGTTGCCCAGGCTGGTCTCAAACCCCTGGGCTCAAGCAATCCTCTCGCCTCAGCCTCCCAAAGTGCTGTGATTATAGGCATTAGCCACCACGTCCAGCATCTACTCCAATTTCTTTAGCCTATCAATTTATTTTTAAGAGTTTGTGTTTTGTTGTTGTCATCATGGTTGTTTTTTTACTTCTATGGAACTGATTCCACTGTTTTTCTTTTTTTTTTTTGAGTTGGAGTCTCACTCTGTCGCCCAGACTGGAGTGCAGTGGCACGCCCCCGGCTACCACAGCCTCGACCTGCCGGGCTTTTGCGATCTTTCTGCCTCAGCCTTCCAAGTAGCTGGAACTACAGGCGCGCACTACCACGCCTGGCTAATTTTTTTTATTTATTGCAGAGATGAGGTCTCGCCAAGTTGCCTGGGCGGGTCTCAAACCTGCGGGCTCAGGCAATCCACTCAGCTTGGCCTCCCAAAGTGCTGGGATTACAGGCTGAGCCACCAAGCCCGGCGTTTTTGTTTTTCTTATTTGTTTTTTCAGCTACACAGTGTATACCTCTAGAACTTGATATGCTGCAGGGTTTCACAGATGTGTTACAGAAAAATTAAGAATTATTGTAAATCAATATAACTGAATAAAAAAATGCTTGCATGCAGTTATTGTAGGCTTCCAATGTGCCCAGGCACTGTGATGGATATTATGGAGAAAGACATTTCAACAATTACAACACAAAGTGATATATTCAAATACGTTTAAAATTCTTATGAAAGAGCAGAGGAACAAGTAACTAACTCACCTGTCTGGTATCATATTAATGAAGGCTTTATGTACCAAATTAACATTTGTGTCTTGAAACAAATGTCTTTTTTTTTTGAGTTGGAGTCTCACTCTGTTGCTCAGGCTGGAGTACAGTGGCACGCTCACTGCCACTACAGCTTCGACCTGCTGGGCTCAGGAGATTGTTCTGCCTCAGCCTTCCAAGTAGCTGGAATTACAGGTGCGTGCCACCATACCTGGCTAATTATTATTTTTTTAATTATAGAGGTGAAGTCTTGCTAGGTTGCCTAGGCTGGTCTTGAACCCCTGGACTCAGGCAATCCTCTTGCCTTGGCCTCCCAAAGTGCTGGGATTGCAGGCGTGAGCCACTGTACCTGGCTGCAAATATGTCTTAAATGGGACAGAAATATCCCGGGGAAGAAAAAGAGGTATAAGGAAGATAGCATGTTCACGGAACTGCAAGAAATTTGGAATGTCAGCAGCAACATGTTTAGGGAAAGGTAGTATGCCATGGGAGAGAGACTGGAAAAATAGGTAGAGATCAGATTGGCTGCCTACTAATGTCACAGACACATTCCTAAAGCATTAAGTCACATCTTCCTGATTTACATCTAAAATAAAACTATACAAATAGTAAAGAAAAACTACAAATTAACCTGACTCACCTTTCAACACTATTGAGATAAGAGGATCCATCATGGCCTCCTACTGCATATAATAAGTCATCAAGGACACTAACCCCAACTCCACATCGCCTTTTGCTCATTGAAGCTACCATTCGCCATTCATTGGTCTGTGGGTCATATCGTTCAACACTGGAAATGGCATCTCCACTGCACCAACCACCAACTGGGAAAGTAAAAGAAATACCTAAGGAGAATACCTAAAGCATAAAGTATAACACTTATTACATATTGCTTGGGCTAACCAAATGTCTCCAGTAGTAGGCCAAAAAACAAGTCATGACTTTAGCTTATTCCACTGGGATTGCTATAATCTTTAATTAATTTCCTAAATAAGTTAGCATCATGTCCATTTTACAAAGGAGAACAATGACACCAATTCAAATAAGATTATGATGTAACGTGGTATATAGTGACTAGAACACTGAATTTAGTTAGAAAACTGGGGATTCTACTAGCTTTGTAATCTTAGGGAAATCTTGTAAACTCTCTGAATCAGTTTCCTCATCTGTAAAATAGTGAATCAAAACTAAAATGTGAAGTAATACCACAATGTATAAAAATACATTATACACCATGACCACGTAGAATTTAAGCCAGGTATGCAACACTGGTTCAACATTAGAAAATTAAAGGAATCCATCACAGAAAGAGGTTAAAAAAGAAAAATCACATAATCTTATCAACAGATGCAGGAAAGGTAACTAACTAAAGTTAACATTTCTTCCTGATAAAAATTCTCAGTAAGCTAGGAACAGAGAGGAACTTCTTCAATTTGGTAAAGAATATCTACAAAAATCCTACAGCCAACATCATACTTAATGGTGAGAAACTCAAAGCTTTCCCACTAAGATCAGGAAGAAGACAAGGATGTCTTCTCTCACCACTGCTGAAAGCATCATACTGGAAATCTTGTTAATGCAATAAAACAAGGAATAAAAGGGATACAATTTGGGAAGGAAGAAATAAAACTGTCTTTGTTCTCAGATGACATGATTATCCATGTAGTAAATCCAAAAGAGAGGCTGGGTGTGGTGGTTCAAGCCTGTGATTCCAGCACTTTGGGAGGCCGAGGTGAGAGGATTATCTGAGCCCAGGGGTTCGAGACCAGCCTGGGCAACCTGGTGAAACCTTGTCTCTACAATTAAAAAAAAATTAGCTGGGCATGATAGCATGCGCCTATAGTTCCAGCTACTTGGAAGGTTGAGGTGGAAGGATCACCTGAGCCCAGTGGGTTGACGCTGCGGTGGCTGTGAGCATGCCACTGCACTCCAGCCTGGGCGACAGAGTGAGACTCCAACTCACAAAAAGAAAATCCCAAAGAGGACTCAGAGTGGTGGCTCACACCTATAATCCCAGCACTTCAGGAGGACAGGCAGGAGGATTGCTTGAGCCTAGGAGTTCAAGATCAGCTTAGGCAACATAGTGAGACCTCGTCTTTAAAAAAAAAAATTAGCTGGGCATGGTGGCACATGCCCGTAGTCCTAGTTGCACAAGAGACTAAGGCAGGAGGATCACCTGAGCTCAGGAGGGCGAGGCTGCAGTGAGCCATAATTATGCCACTGCACTCCAGTCTGGGTGACAGAGTGAGACCCCAACTCAAAAAAGAAAGAAAGAAAGAAAGAAAGAAAGAATACCCCAAAGAATCAGTTTAAAAAAAAACCCTAGAATAATTTAGATAATTAGTTAACTAAACTAATTTAGTATAATTGCTTAAGCAGTTAATTTAGTACAATTTAGCATAATTGCTTAATAATAGCAAGACTGCAGAATGCAAGACTAATATACGCAAGTCAGTCACATCCTCATATACCAGCAATGAACCATTAGAATTTAAAATTAAAAAAATAATACCATTTTCATTAACATCTCCCCAAAATGAAATACTTAGATACAAATCTAACAAAATATGTACAAGATCTATACAAGGAAAACTGCAAAACTCTGATGAAATAATTCAAGAATAAATAAATAGAGAAACATTCCATGTTCACAGATAAGAAGACCCATTGTTGTCAAGATGTCAGTTCTTTCCAACTTGATCCACAGATTCAATTCAATCTCAGTCAAAATCTCAGCAAGTTATTTTGTGCATATTGACAAAGCCCCAGAGATTGCATGGAATTTTCTGATGAAAAGGAATAGAATACTTCTTATGTCAAAATAGGACAACAGAATCAGAGGATGCCCGGAGCATAGAATTACTGACATTTGGAAGCTGAACTACAAAGATTACATTAGGTCCCAGTTAGCTCCATAAATCAGGATTTCAAAAAAATTTAAGAGACTGAATAAGTAAGAAGTTTTACTAAACAGTGAGAAAGCCATTATTCCAGTGAAAAAGAGGTGACATTACATGGACAGAATTAAAGCACCTGAAATGGAAACATTTCAAAGATTCAGGGGCAGATAGTAGAAATAATACAGTGGATTGTCTTGAGCTCAATCTAGGTTAACAGAACCAAGAAAGAATATATCTGTTTGATGTAAGATAATGTTTTTTTGGCAACTCCATGTAATTATGAAGCAACTTGCACACTGGTAAATTAATTAATGCATGTGACTCATCTCAACAGACCATTCACTGCATGACATTTTCATTTATTATTTATTATTTTTGATTTTGTAGAGACGAGGTCTCATCAGGTAATCTCAAGCTCCTGGGCTCAAGTGACCCTCCTGCTATGGCCTCCCAACGTGCTGGGATTTCAGGCATGAGCTACTGTGTCTGGCTAGACATTTTTAGACTTATACAAAAATAGAGTAGTCTTTTGGAGAATACCAGTGTTGGATCATGGGTCAAGCTACATGTTGACTTATTATTTGTTTCTTATGAAAGTAGATATCACAATTGTCCAAAGAATAGTTGAATAACAATTTTTCACATAGGAAAATATTCAGTTCTGTCACAGTATTTTAAGATCCAAACCTGCAAAGAGTACTTCTCCACATCGGATAGGTTTCCGTGGTCTTGTCCTTGGTCCTTGCATTAGTGGTCGTTCTTGAGGCAACAGGAGGTAGTTTTTAGCCTCATCTACCAAGTCTCTGCAGAAAAAAAAATTTGACTTTATTTTAAATGTCTAAATAGCATGGTTAGTCAAGTACTAATATTGTTTAGAAATATATAGGTTGGCAAAGGGGAGCAAGCACAAATAAAACCAAATCATGAATGTCAGCCAGTATTAAAATTGGCACAAGCACAAAAGCAATGATGCTAGTCACACTATGAATTGTGAATTGACTGGCATTTCCATCATGACTTCATATCTCAGAACAAATTTAGCCTAAACTCAACATGCTTAGAACCAATGATAACTTACAAAAAACTAAAAATTACAACTTGATTATCACCTTGCAGAGTTACTGCTTTCTAATATATTTATTTATTTGTTTGTTTGTTTGTTTGTTTATTGAGACAGCATGCACCAATATGCCCAGATAACTTTTGTATTTTTTGTAGAGATGAAGTCTCACCGTGTTTCCCAGGCTGTTCTTGTATCTGGGCTCAAGCGATTCTCTTGCCTTAGCCTCCCAGAGTGCTTGGATTACAGGCATGAGTCACAGCATTTAGCCCTCTAATGAATTTTATTAGATTTTGCAGAATACTGGCAAAATGGCACATCAGCTAGGGTACTAGATATTTGCCAGAATAATTAGAGCAATAAAACTGGGACAAAAGTAGAATTGCTAAAAAGAAATGTTATATTGTCAAAAATTTGCTGTCTGGTAGCATAAGAATGGTTTACTCTCAACAAGTCCACTAAGAGGAACACAGTATTTTTCTCTCTCGCTAAGGTACTTTAAGAAAAGAACCTAGTAATTACATTTGCTAAATACAATACTCTAATATAAGCTATTTGCGTATATACTTATTTTACTTGAGTCCTTAGAGTGACTCAGTGCCTGATTAGTACAAATTCAATCTGTTACTGTTCTCTCTCAACTCTGAAGGTGTTTCCTAAACCATCTCTATTTTCATTCCTCTTATTATTTATGCTGCAAAGGGTAACTCATTCCTGTCCTAGGTAACTTACTCAATCCTAGGCATTAATCCAATAATGAACTTTCAAATATAAGACTTTTAAGGCCCCTACTGAATTTATCTATCTTAAAAACAAAAACATTATGCCAATGATCAAGAGCTTTTTCTAGTTTCCCATACTTAACGACAGACTTTGATCTCCTAATAGCTGGTTAAGTCATTCAAGGGCTCCTAGAAAGAGTATAGTAGAAATATAATACTTAGCAAATCAACACAAAATTAATAGTAAGAACAACACTTACAGCTATGTGCTAGTTCTTGTTTTAAGTGGTTAATATACATAACTCATTTAATCCTCACAGCAGCCTAAGGAAACAGGCACTACTATCATCTCTATAAAGAAATGAGCAAAAAGAGGTTAAAGTAACTTGCCTAAGGTTACACAACTAGTAAATGGTGAGGTCAGGATATCAGGAAAGGTCTTTTTTTTTTTTAACTTTTTTGAATCGAGGTCTCACTCTGTTGCCCAGGCTGGAATGTAATGGCATGATCACGATGATCATGGCTCACAGCAGCCTCAACCTCCTGGGCTCAGATGATTCCTTCATCTTAGCCTCATAAGTAGCTGGGACTACAGGTGCACGCCACCATGCCAGGCTAATTTAAAAATTTTTTTTGTAGTGATGAGGTTTCGCTGTTGTCCAGGCTGGTCCTGAACTCCTAGGCCAAGCAATCTACCCACTTTAGCCTTCCAAAGTGCTGGGATTATAGCATTACTGGCCAGGAAGGATCTTCTTTTAAAAGTGACTTCGTGAGCCAGGCGCAGTAGCTCACGTCTATAATCCTAGCACTTTGGGAGGCAGAGGCAAGAGGAGTGCTGAGCCTTAGGTTTGAGACCAGCCTGGACAACACGGTGAGACCTCGTCTCTACAATAAATAAAAAATTAGCTGGACATGGTGGTGCAAGCCTGTAGTTCCAGCTACTTGGAAGGTTGAAGCAGAAGAATCACCTGAGCCCAGCAGGTTGAGGCTGTGATGACCATGAGCAACATGCCACTGCACTCCAGCCTGGGTGACAGAGTGAGATTCTGACTCAAAAAAAAAGGGGACTCCATGAATACCTTTACAATATGATTTGTGTTTGATAGGGGAAAGGCACCTATGTCCCATTTCTTCAGATTTCAGTATGCATAATTCATAGTTGTTCCTTCTGCTATTGCAAATATTTAGGGGAATTAATTGCCACTGGTTTATGTTTTAAATTTAAAAGATAAATCCATTCAGTTTAACTCTAGCCTGTGGTAAAGGGAAAAATTAATAATAAATATAAAAATAAAACAAACTTCAATCTGTAGAGGAAATGCAAGTGAATTTTTGAGGGGGAGCCCAAGAAAACCTGGAATTTATTTATAAAAAATTGTGTATTTATTCTTTATTTTTGGACTATTTATTTATACATTTTAATTGAAAAAATTGTATATATATTATTATATATAACATGTTATTTTAAAATATGTACACACTGTGGAATGGCAAAATTTGGATAATTAACATATACATTTATCACATACTTTTTTATGATAAGAACACTTAAAAATCTACCTTCTTTGCAATACTTTTTTTTTTTGAGTTAGAGTCTCACTCTGTCACCCAGACTGGAGTGCAGTGGCCATTCCTGGCCACCACAGCCTCGACCTGCCGGGCTCTGGCGATCCTTCCGCCTCAGCCTTTCAAGTAGCTGGAAATACAGGCACACGCTACTACGGCCGGCTGATTTTTTGATTGATTGTAGAGATGAGGTCTCGCCAAGTTGCCCAGGCAGGTCTCGAACCCACGGGCTCAGGCAATCCACTCATCTCAGTCTCCCAAAGGCGTGGGATTACAGGCTGAGCCACCTTCCTATCTAACTGAAATTTTGTATCTTTTGACAAGTATCTCCCTATGTTACCCAATAACGATTATTCTCTTCTCTATTTCTGAGTTACACTTTTTTTTTTTAATTTGTTTAATCAATTTTTTTTAATGATATTGTGCGGTACAGTTAAGGGTTAGGTATACAAATATGCACTGTTCAGGCACCCTTGTTGATAAGAGGTGTCTTATTTATTTATTCTTACATGTTTAAACTTCAGTCACCTTCAAAGTACTCTCTGATGTAATACATCTATCAAGATGATTTTTCCACTACTCAAAACAGTCTTTAACTTGTCCATTTTGAGCCTTTTAGTGCTTCTGCCATTTTTTGTTTCACCTCTTCCATAGCAGCAGAATGTTTCCCTTTGAAGACTTTTTTCTTCCGGGGAAACAAAAAAAAGTTGCTCGGGGTGAAATTGGGTAAACAAGGAGAGTGGGGCATTGGGGTCAGGCTGTTTTTGGTCAAAAACTGTTGAACACTCAGCACAGTGTGGGCTGGTGTGCTCATAAATCACCAGTCATGAAATGGGCAAATGCTTTGAAAGAATCTAAAAAAAAAAAAAATTAACTGAAGCTGAATACAGCATCTCACATCAATGCTAGCTGTACAGAGATGTTGATAGGTAACACCTAGTGGGAGAAGCCTGTTCTACAAAGGACCCCCCTTCCAAGAAGATAATTCTGGTTTTGGGGTCCTACCTTGTATACGTCCTGCCTCTGTTCTAGAATCAGAAGTAATTCCAAATTTCTTTAATCACCAAGGGAAGCCCAAAGGTCATGTAGTTTAAGGAATGCTGAGTACTGATTTGCTCTTTTACTTTTATATTTGGGACATGTTGAGAAAAATAGTTAGAAATGCTGGATGGTTCAGATTTGAACCTAAATCTTAAAATCTGTCAAGCTGGGAAAGTAGTTTATTAAATTTTGTATATAGCTCAGACACAGCCTAGTAAAATAGGCTTTTTCCTCCCTTTGCAAAAGCAGTTAGAATTTCATTAGTCAAAAAATGTCTGGAAACTGCTTCACCTTGTTCTAGTAGAAATTTTTCCATAGCTACTTTAGGACTTTTTTTTAAGAGTCAGGGTCTCATTCTGTCATGGCTCACTTTAGCCTCAACTTCTTGGGCTCAAGTGATCCTTATAAGGTGATAGATCTTTAACTGTCTACAATCTTAGAAAGTGCAGCTGGGCCTATTCCCCAACTAGACATATGTGATAGAATGAAAAAGTGCTCACTGACACAGAGTCAACAGCATTATTTATTCAATTTATCTCAAGAAAAAAATATTAGCAGAGAACTGACTCTTAAATTCAAATTTGCAGTAAAACCTTAGAAATCTACCTCTTTATTGCCACTTCTACACCAATAAGCACCACACATAAAAAACTAATGGAATGGAATACTGGAAGTTCAGTTCTCTCTTCTTCCTTCTCCTCTTGACCCTAGCTCAGAAGAAAAACCTGTTAAATACTGCCCTGGTTTCAGCACCAAGAAATACAATATTTTGGAAGCAATACAAATTAGACATGCCTAGTTACTGACTTTCCCCATATGGGTTACTCATACCTGCATTCTTCATCACTTTTGATGAGGGGATCAGAGCCTACTGTACCCACCAGGAACTTGGGACTAAGCAAAGGCAAACGAACATGTTGCAGCACCTAAGAAAAAACAAACACTATTAGAGGCTTGAGCGTTCATCTGCAAGATATTGAAGAGAAAACATGATCCATGGTCCCCTACTATGCTTCCAATTGTTTTGAAATCTAACTGAATACCATAAATAGAAAGGAGGGAAGGCATCAATACTAAAACTCAATTAAATTTATTCTAACCACCAATTCAGTAATGTAGAATAATCAAAAAGTTAAAAGCACACTAATAGCACTTTAGAATGCTAGTTTAAACTTTCAGCAATATTTTATAAGCTCTTTTATAACTGGACTCAAATTAATGAACAGAAAAATATCCTGTTAAATTGCTAGACTATGGTCACGATAACAAGAATGATCTTACACATTTCACTCACTGACCACTTATGCCCCAAGTCATCCCTTTACTATTCAAAGTGTGGTAGCATTTCCAAGTTATAGGGAAGAGGAAATGTGGTAAGATTTCCAGGCTACAGGGAAAGGCACATCCTTGCTTTTTTGTTGTTCATTTTATACAATTTAAGTTTTGAACTGTGCTACAGCTAAAGTGTAGAAGTGATCCAAAATAGAGGGGAAGCAAAGGAGCAAAAAGCAAACAATAATAAGTAGTCAAAATGTTTCTAAACATTTGCTACTTTGACTACTGGAAACAGGTGCAATTTCTCATTGTCTAATATTAGGGAGAGTGATAATTGTTTAATTTTCCAAGACAAATAATGTTTATTATTTTATCGAGGACAGCAGTTTCTTAGGGAGGTATTTCTATCATCACCTGGGGTAACTGAGGACGTCTTTCTTGAATACTGTATTTGACCCAGGCCATCACTGCATTGAACACTTGCTCTTCACTGCGAACGTTTAGCTCATCACTAGATATTATATCAATGAGTTGATTTGCTGGAAGCAACATGAACTCTTCACTCTCCATTACCTGTTCGAAGTTAGGTAAGAAGAAAAAAAACCTTGATCACATTTACTGTCTCAATATTTGTCTTCAGGATTATGGGGCAAAGCTCTATTCCACAATGGAGCTGAACTTTAAAATAATACCAGAGAAAAAGAAAAGTTAAAAAAGAGAAAAATGTACAGAAGACAATCAAAATTTAGTAAAAATAATCATTTGTGATTCAAGTAATTTATGACTTTTTCTTAAAAATAAAAGATCAAAATAAAAATGTATAGTAAAAATAAGTCAAATTAACTATATCAAATTATAAATCCTGATATATAAGAAGCATATACAAAGTCAGGAAAAGCTTTCAGAGGAAGATTAGTTGTGGAAAGAGCATTATCTAGGGCAGAAATACCTAGGGATCAGTTTAAAAAAAGAATGAGGGTATCAGCAACTCCCCAAGCAAGAATGAATAGAACGAGGAGAATCAGACAAAGAAAAACATCTGAAGACCAAGATATACAACACATATACCAGTGAGAAACTAAAAATGCACCGATAATTTATCTTACCCAAAGTTAGGGACTGTTAGGTGTATATGAAATGGCAATAAGGATATTGTATTGTTGTACAGGCTGACCACAAATTCCAAGATGTTGTAAGTCTATCCATCAGGATGTTGAGTAAGAGGGACAGGGTACAATGCAGAACGGAACAGCTACTGCCACTTTCATGCAGTCTGTTCCCTCACTCAGGAGACTGCGCAACATGTGACATCTATGAGTGCAGGCAGGAAATGGTAAGAGCTTAAATTCCTACTGTGCTATCTCAAATGCAGACTATAGATTCTCTTGGGACAGGGTTATTTTCATACTCATCAAAAAATCAGAATATTTAGCAGAATACGAGATAGACTATAAAATTAATTTAAATATTTGATTAAGAATGTTTTCCTCGAACAAGGCTTCAAATCATCTGAGTGATTTTCTGAGGTCAGGAAATTAAATGGGTAACCTTTAAATTTTAGCTGGAGTTGTTTAGCAAGGTAACTTACCACTGCACTCAATCAGGAATTTAAATTTAATTGGGTACTCTGTATTTTATCTGCCAATCCAATGTTGTTGGGCTATAAAGTCCAGAGCCAAATCTATTTTCCTCTTATTTTTTTGCTCTCTGATTTCTTTACTTAAGTATGGTATCCTGTATGTCTGTGATGTGCCTTGACATTCTTTTTAGAACTTGTCAGAGTATAAATTTTTTTCCCAAAATAATGATTATAAACTAATGCTATATCAATGATCACCAAGTTTAAAGTTTATGAGTAAACTTCTAAGACACTAACAACTCAATAGAAACAATGAGCCTTTAACTTTGGGGTGGGGGGATACATAACACATAAAGGGTACCTGATCCTAAACCAGGGGAAGTGAGGACCAGTTGGAGTTTCAAACTTCACCTACACATAGATTACTTATGTACTAATCATGACTTGTACTCTATGTCTTCAAAATAAAATGAAATATTTTTTTAAAACTCTAGTTAAACAAAAGAAACAATGAGATGGCAGAAAGACATGAAAATTGTTTGTGCTAAAAATGGAGAGTAAAATAATACTTTTGATAGACAAAGACTGGTTAAAATGCCACTTCTTTTTCCACTAGCAACAAAAATATATTAATGTGCCATTAGGGCAAACCTAGCACTGAAACTATCTTTGAACCAAACAACCAGGTTAAGAAAACAATGCTTCAATATAATTGTTCTTTTTTTTGTTTCTTGTTTTTGTTTTTTGATTTGGAATCTCACTCTGTCGCCCAGACTGGAGTGCAGTGGCCACTCCCGGCCACCGCAGCCTCGACCTGCTGGGCTCCGGCGACCCTTCCGCCTCAGCCTTCCCAGTAGCTGGAACTACAGGCACGCACTACCACGCCCGGATAATATTTTGATTTATTGTAGAAATGAGGTCTCACCAAGTTGCCCAGGTGGGTCTCAAACCCGCGGGCTCAGGCAATCCACTCACCTCAGCCTCCCAAAGCTCGGGATTACAGGCTGAGCCACGGAGTCTGGTGAATTGTTCTTATTAATTAGACAAGAGTTTAGAGGAGATCTGAATTTTAAGCCCCACACTACTATGGCAATCAGTTTACTTTTAGTTTATTCAGATGAATGAAGATGCTATTTGAAGGCTAAATAAAGTTGATAACAAACAAGGATGAATAAGCAGAAGTATATGATAAACTTAGTGCTGCTGAGTTTAAAGACAGTTTTAAAATTTATGTTTATGGGAAAGAGTAACATTGGATGATTAAGCTAGGTTTAATAAAATACAAGGAAATTAAACAGATTTGAGTATAGTTTCAAAAATCATTTAAATGACTCTCAAGTGTAAAGCTCCAAATGATGACTTTTTTTTTTTGCACTTACAATGTAGCCATTCTAGTCCATGAACAAGAGGAATTTTTTTTTTTTTTTTAGTTAGAGTCTTACTCGGTTGCCCAGACTGGAGTGCAGTGGCCACTCCGGCCACCGCAGCCTCAACCTGCTGGGCTCCGCGATCCTTCCGCCTCAGCCTTCCAAGTAGCGGGAATTACAGGCGTGTGCTACCACGCCCAGCTAAGTTTTTGACTTATTGTAGAGATGAGGTCTCGCCAAGTTCTCCAGGCGGGTCTCAAACCCGTGGGCTCAGGAATCCACTCACCTCAGCCTCCCAAAGGCGCGGGATTACAGGCTGAGCCACCGAGCCCGGCTTTTTTTATTTTTTATTTTAAAGACGTAGGATACAATTCAGAGTTAGGTAAGGGGGAACATTCCCTGCTGGGATTTCATTATGGTATATAGCAGGTTCACTTTGGAGGCAGGATTAGAACTAGAAGGAATTGCAGAACTTTCTCTACTATCGAGAATATTCTTCAAATATCTGTGAATATATTAGATGTAAAACACAAGTTATAGTTAAAGAAGGACATTTTTTAAAAAAACGAACTTTATTTTATATATTCAAGTAGCCACGACCACCATTAAGATGCAGAACATTACCATTACCCCCAAAACGTTCTAAAGCAGAGAACTTTTAATGTAAAGTCCAAAGCCTTTGACGTCTTATTTTGGAGATCCTCAGTTATTTTTGGAGAGTGGATTTGATATCTGAAAACAGTGGAAAGAATTAGACGTCAAGTCTGTTAAAGAAAGTATGTGAGGAAGTTAGACTGTATTATTTGGAATGAAAAATTAAATGTGACTATAAAATAATGAATGACTCTATCAACTTAATGAGGTATAAACCTCACTAATAATGGTATATCCCTTTAATATTTTGTTGAAATTAATTACTAATTGTCAAGAATTTTGGCAACTAAGTTCATGAGAGATACGGATCTATAGTTGTCTTTTAATATCTGTGGTTTTAATCAGGGTAATTTTGGCCTTATAAAATGAGTTGGCAATTTCCTCCTCCTTTTTCCAAAAGACATTGTATAGGATTGGTTAGCACAAGGAAATAAAAGACTGATATCACTTATGAATAGTAACGTAAAAACACTAAATTAAATGTTAGTGAATAGATTCCAACATCATGTTAACGGAACACATAATTGGAGACTTGCTTGTGTCAGGACTTTTCTGGTATGAAACTTTTGCCTGTCTTTTGTTTCCTCTCTTCTTTCTCCAATAAACTTTGTTTTAAAACTTTAAAAAACAAAGAAAACAGTACACCATAATTAAAAAGTATATACCAATAATACAAAAATGCTTCATTTTTAGGATTCCATTCATGTAATTCATATTAACAGATTTAAGGAAAAAATTCAAATAATTATGTCCATAAATACTGAAAAAGCCTTTGACAAAATTCAACGTTGCTCCTAATAAAAAGCATTCAAGAGAACAGAAATTGTTGGACATGGACACTTTCTTAACATGATAATATTTACACCACAATCCTAGAGCCAGTGTATTACTTAATTAAAACACCAGAAGCATTCCCACTAAAGTGAGAAATAATGCATAGTATTTCCATTACTATTTAACATTTTATTGGAAGTTTTAATTCAAGCAATTAGACAAAAGAAAATAATTAGAGACATTAGCAATTGAATAAAAAAGTAATAAAACTACTAATATGCAGATGAATAATAGGATTCCAATAAAATTGTTAAGAATCAATACTAAAAGTAACTCAAAGAATAATTCAATGAGACAGCTTTCATATTCATTAATGACAACCCCCAATTAGAAGAAATAATGGAGGAGAAAAATTTATTTACGATAGTAACCAAAAATATACTTAGCAATAAACTTAAAAAGAAATGTATAAAATCTAGATGAATAGAACTATAAAAAAATTCCTGAGATACAAAAATACAATTCAAAACATATATCTTGTTTTTGAATAGGACAACTCAACATCATAAAAATGACTGTTCTTAACTTATAAATTAATATGATCCCAATAAATATACCAACAAGTTGTTTTCTTGGAGCTGAATAAGGTGATAATAAAGTTCATCTGGAAAAATAAACATGCAAGAAAGCTAGGAAAACACTGAAAAAAAAGAGTTATATGGGGTAGGAGTGAGGGAAGAGTCACTAGCCCTGTCACATATTAAAATACATTACCAAGCCTTAATTAAACCATAATAGAAATAGACTATCGTACTGGTACACAGCCTAGAACAGATGGTCCAAAAACAAGTACATAGAGAAATTCAGTATATAATAAAGATGCTATGGCAAATCACTGGGGCAAAGAAAGACTTCTAAACAAATGCTTTTGGGACTAGATGGCCATTTAGAAAAATATAAAATTAGTCCCATATTTCACACTATACAGAAAGATAATCTCAGAGAGACCATGTACATGCTAGAAAAAAAATTTGTAAATTTCTCTGTAAACTAGGTTTAGGGAAGACTTTCAAACTCTGCCTCATTGATACAAATTCACAAGAATTATAAAAAATGGTCCTTAAACATATGAAAGATGTTTAACTTCATTTAAGTAAATTAAAACTACACTGAGAGCCGGGCTCGGTGGCTCAGCCTGTAATCCAGCGCCTTGGGAGGCTGAGGTGAGTGGACTGCCTGAGCCCGCGGGTTCGAGACCTGCCTGGGCAACTTGGTGAGACCTCATCTCTACAATAAATCAAAAAATTAGCAGGGTGTAGCACGCGCCTGTAGTTCCAACTACTTGGAAGGCTGAGGCGGAAGGATCGCCGGAGCCCAGCAGGTCGAGGCTGCAGTGGCCAGAAGCGGCTACTGCACTCCAGTCTGAGCGACGGAGTGAGACTCCAACTCAAAAAAAACAAAACAAAACAAAAAACTACACTGAAATTCCATTCCCATCCATTAAATTAACAAAAATTCAGAAGGCTGACAATACAATCTGTTGATAAGGCTGTGGGGAAACAGTATTACCGGTGGGAATGGTTCAATCCCTATAGCGGGGAATTTGGTGATACTTAACAAAATTACATATACAGTTAAACTTTGACCCTGTAATCTCTAGGAATTTACCCTGAAGATAAACCTCCAACAAAACTGATAAATTCATATACAAGGCTATTCATTGCAATATTATTTGTAATGACAAATATTGAAAACTACCTAAATGCTAAAACACTGAGACTAGTTAAATAAACAGTAGTCCATCCACATTAGTACAATGCAGTTAATAAAGAAAGAATAAGGAAGAACATGATGAACTAATGTGTGGAATAAATTTCAGAATGTATTACGCAAAAGGCAAAGTGCAACACAGAATAAATAGCAGGGCACCTTTTGTGTAGGAAAGACATGGAAATAAGAAAATATATACGTATCTGTTTAATTTTGCAAAAAGACACAGAGGAAGAACCTTCCAACCATCAAAACAATAATCTACTGAACAGAATGGGTCCATGAGTTCATAGTGCTAGTCAATCAATCAAATCAATCAATAAGGGACCAAAAAGTATTTCTTTTTTTATTTTTTACTTTTTGAGTTGGAGTCTCGTTCTGTCACCCCGGTTGGAGCGCAATGGCACACTCATGGCCAACCCAGTGTCCACCTCCTGGACTCTGGCAATCCTTCCGCCTCAGCCTTTCAAGTAGCCAGAACTACACAGAACTACAGGCCCGGCTATTTTTGATTTATTGTAGAGACGAGGTCTCGCCAAGTTGCCCAGACTGGTCTCCAACTGTGGGCTCAGGCAATCCACTCGCCTCGGCCTACGAAAGTGCTGGGATTACAGGCCAAGTCACCAAGCCTGACCCAAAAAGTATTTCTTACAGCTGAATATAAATAGGCAAGTAAGTGGAGTTTATAAAGAAAACTACCGCATTGCAACCATCATAGTTAAGAGTTCAGGAGTAAAGGAATATAAAAGCAAAGGAGTAAAGGAACATAAAAGGAACACAGGAGTGTTTAGGAGCAAAAAAATATGGTATGTATGATATATCATATACTCTCCAATTGTTCAGAAAAAATTTTATAGAGCAAGGAGAGAGTAATAAAGTAAATAAGGCAAAATATTAACAATTGGTTAATTTGGGTAAAGGGTATAAAAACGTTTTGTCTTATCCCTACAATTTCTAGTAAATTTAAATTTTTTCAAATAAAGTTTAAAAATTACTTTTTCCAATCTGATAGGCTAAAATGTGGCATCTAGCTTAGAAGTATGTTTCTTTAGTTATATGTGAGGTTGAGCATCTTTTCACATTTATTTTCCATTGGACTTTTTTTTTAACATATTGTTTATTATCTCTTTGCCTATTTTGCATATTTTTTTCAAACTGAGTTTGTATGACCTTTACATGAATTAGTATTTTTCTGTTATGTATGCTCCAAACAGGTTTGCTGAATTTGACACAGATTTTATTTTTAGTTCATGGTGCTTTTTGTTACAAAAAAATTTTAACTTTTATGCAAATTTATAGTTTCTGGGTTGCATCCTGCTTCGATCTTTCTGTACCCTCAAAATGTTTGTAATGTTTTAATATTTCTTAAGGTTAATGGTCCTAATACTAACTTTCAGAAAACTTCTGCTTACTCTAGCATACATATATATATTCTCTCCTTGTTAAAACAATCCCCATTCTTTGCATTTCATGCCTGAAGCTTGTTCTTCTCTCTTCTCGAGGTATTCCCAGTTACCTTTGCTAACTTCCCTCAAAACTGGAGAAATTTTAGGGCCTTTCTTTTTTCTCCTCCCTTCATTTTGCATTGGTTTGTGATATACTTTTGGTACAAAAAAGTTTTACATTTTTATGCACTCTGATTAATCTTTGCCTATATAGCTTCTGGGTTATATCATGCTTGAAAAGGATTAGGCCCTGGCTTAATTACTATGTTGATGACTCCTAAATTTTAATTTCAGCCTAACCTCTTGTCTAAGGAACAAAAACAGTTCTTGTTCAATGTATCTACTTAGATTTGTTACAGGTGTCTCAAACCGAACACATCTAAACCAGAATCCATGGCCTTACTCCCTCAAGCTGTTCTTTTCTCTAGTACTCCTATAGTCCAAATTCCCAGATGTAAGACTGCTGAGCCAAAAATGGGCACAAAAAGTGTATAGTTTGGTAGTACTGACAAACTCCTTTTCAAAAGAGTTGTGCCAATTTATACTCTTATTAGCAATGTTCTTATTTCCCCATGGCCTTGCCAACAGGTTATACAATCAAATTTCTGGATATTTTGTAATCTCACAGATAAAAAATAGTACTTTGGTATAGTTTTGTTTCAGATATTTGAACAAACAAGAGCAGATTTTCATATGTTTAAGAAAAATCTAAATGTCTTTTCTGTTTACTGCCCATTTTTCTGTTAGGTCATTGGTTATTGACCAACAGGAACACTTGATATATTAAAGAGATTAACTTTTTGTCTGTGATATGAATTGCAAATATTTTTCCCTAGTTTGTCTTTGACTTTTGTCTTGTTATTGTTGTTTTCTGTTTTACCACGAAGAAAATTTTGATCTGTATGTAGTCAAACCTATAAATTTTGTCTTCTGTCTCTTCTGGGTTAGTCAATTAGAAAGACTTTCTTCAAGATTATAAAGGAAATGTTCCATGTCATCTTGTATTTTCATGGTTTCATTTTGTATGTTTAAATCTTTGATCCATTGGGGATTATTCTGGTGGACAGAAGGATAATATTAAAGTATAAAACAGACCATATTTTTCCTTTGTTTAAAATCCTTTAATGTGGCTGGGCGCAGTGGCACGCACCTGTAATCCCAGCACTTTGGGAGGCAGAGGTGAGAGGTTTGCCTGAGTCCAAAGGTTAGAGACCAGCCTGGGCAACTTGGCAAGACCTCGTCTCTACAATAGATCAAAAAATGAGCTGGGTGTGGTGGTGCATGCCTGTAGCTCGAGCTATTTGGAAGGCTGAGGAGGAAGAATCATCTGAGCCTAGCAGGTCGAGGCTGCAGTGGCCGTGAGCATGCCACTGCACTCTAGCCTGGTGACAAAGTGAGACTCAGACTCAAAAACAATAAAAAACCAAAAAAATCCTTTAATGCTTTTCTGGCACTCTCAAGATTTAATCTCAAATTCTTAACATGGTCTATCAACTTCAGTATGATTTGGCCCTCTTCTTTTTGTGAAATCATCATATAACCTCATCTACCCCCTTGCTCTTTGTGTTTCTTTCAGTTCTCAAACTGGTTATGATTTTTAATGTCTCAGAATTTTATATGAGCTGTTCCAGAATCAAAATTAAATTTTTCTGTCATACACATTTAAAATCATCCAACAGCCGGGCTCGGTGGCTCAGCCTGTAATCTCGTGCTTTGGGAGGCTGAGGTGAGTGGATTGCCTGAGCCCACGGGTTCGAGGCCCGCCTGGGCAACTTGGCGAGACCTCATCTCTACAATAAATCAAAAAATTAGCCGGGCGTGATAGCGTGAGCCTGTAGTTCCAGCTACTTGGAAGGCAACAGAGTGAGACTCCAACTCAAAAAAAAAGAAAAAGAAAAAAAAATCATGTAGGGCTGCTTCTTTGTAGCATCCATTATAATTAATTATTTGTGTAATTAAGCACTGAATGATTATCTTACCAGCTAGAGTATGAACTCTATGAGTACAGAGACTCTAGATTTCTTGTTCATTACTATAGCCTATGTTCCCAAGCACAGTGGCTGAAACATAGTAGCTTTCCAAATATTTGTTAACAGAATGAACAAGTGAAAGAGCAGATTTAGTGAAAATTCTTTTGGTAACATCTAAATCTATTTTTTCTTAGTTCACCAAATAACCTCTCATCTATCATTTATTCTGAATAATCCACATAATCAGAAAGGAAACATCTTACACAAATGACTGGTACCAGGTAATCCTATCAGGTACAAATCCTCTTATGGATTAATATACTGTTTTTTGGCTTATAAGTTACTGTTTTTTGGCTTATAAGTTAGGTTGTTATGAGAATCAATCATGAAACTTCAACTTTTTTTATGGAACACAAAATTGGAACTCTAAAATAAAAATCAGGTTTAGAATTTATTTATTTATTTATTTATTTAAAAAATAGAGATGGAGTCTCGCTATGTTGTCCAGGGTGGTCTTGAACTCCTAGCCTCAAGCGATCCTCCTACCTCAGCCTCCCAAAGTGCTGGAATCACAGGGGTAAGCCACCATGCCCAGCCAAGGTTTAGGATTTATAACAACACAGTTCTTTGATATTATAAGTTAAATCAACACTAAATACCCATGCATTTGTTAGCAGAATGTGAACACATATTGCTCTCTTGAAATAGGTTATTTGAATGCATTTAAATCACCAAGCACAACTCACCTCTTGAAAGTTATGCTGAGTGAACTTGTCTGCTATCCTTAGCAACTCACGACACGAATGTGTGTCAGCAAAAGCCCGAATGCCCAGACAGTTAGAGGGATCCAATTGTCTCTTTAAGAATTCACAGCAGGCTTCCTGTATTTCTGCCAGCTGGAGGAGGCAAGCAGCTGGCAAAAGGGTCTGAACATTGCCCTCTTCTACAGTTATTTGGGAAGTATATGCAAAGTCAATCAGTAGTTCCATAGCCCTCTCATCTATGTCTCGAATCACTACTTCTGTCTGACGGCTCTCTGCCAATTCTCCTGTAAACATAGCTCGGAAGTAGGGACTACACGCTGACAAGATGACTCGATGGGCATATATCTTCTTAGTGCCCACAACTAACACCACGTCACATAGTTCCCGGTGCTTTCTCAGAAGGTTAATCACTTCTAAAGTTTGTCGAGGGTGCTTGTCTGAGATATAGGGCATGCGGGCAGGTTGGGGAACCCCTTCTGGCAGTTTGTTGGGGTCTCCAAGGGTGCAGCGGCTTGTTACATCCATTCCAGTCTCTCCTGGTCGAATGTTGGTACACCTACAGGAATGAGGGTGGAGGGAGAAAAGATGACAATATTATTATAAGCTCACTTCTGCCCTAAAACGTTCATAGGTTAAGAGATGGGAAAACCTGCAATAACCAAAAAAAGAGAGCTAGGTCCCCAAAGAGTTCCCATTCTAAAAATTCTAGAACTTGCCAACTTCCTTAAAGTCTCTTAAAGAATGAATTGCATTAATTCCAAGTCAGAGCACTTCCACTATACACTGCCATAAAATAAAGAACAATTCCTTTTTCATCCCAGAAACAATCAGTCTGTCTTGGGTCATATCTCTTATAACATTAATAAAAATTTATTTTATAAATTTATAAATGCTCTTCTGTGTACAAAACAGACCTATGAACTTAAATTCCTAAACATGATTTAATGAAAATCTTGATATTTGTTATATTCTAAAACAGCTGGTGCTTATTTCTCACATTCACTAGGTGATATTTTGAATTTTTTGAAGGTTCAGCACAAAATCTGTAAAATATAGCTCATGCTACAGGAAAAGATCAGAACGAAAATACACCAGGGTCTACAAAATTAGCTTCATATTTAATACTATATTTCCTTGATTTTAAGATGCATATTCTTCATAATTTAATATTTAACAAAAACTGGAAATCATCTAATGCTGATATCAAAGAAACTTGCCGGCTACCAGATAAAGAAGTTGTCGCTGCTTCTACATGGGAATTTTAGCTATACTACTCGAAATAGATAACAGAATTTCCAAAACTAAGAGAGGTCAATGTGACAGATTCTTATGTTAGAAGATTATAACTGTTTAGGATTTGAGAGCTTCTGGTTAGCTTTCAAGGGAAGAAACTTTAATCCAATTGATATGTAATTCATTTAAAAAGTCATAATTTAACCAAATAGGTATGTGTCTTTGTTATGTCTCAAAATTATACAGTCAATTACAATGGTTCTAAAGAAGTAAACACACACACACACACACACACACACACACACACACACACACACACACAACCAGAAAGCACAAAATGGGTTATATAAAGTAGCATGCTACTGTAATGTTACAGAAACTTGCTAAGAACCAAATATAATTCATAATTCTTTAGTCTTTGAATGAGAGGAAGGTTTACAATCAAAGTTTAATTATATTACTGAAGAAAAATGATTACGGGTGTACATTGTTTTATTGTGCTTTGCTTTATTGCCCTTCACAGATAATGTGATTTTTTACAAACTGCAGGTTGTGGGACCCCTAAATCCAGCAAGTCTATTGGTGCTATTTTTCCAAAAGCCATCTGCTCACTTCGGGTCTGTGTCACATTTTTGTGATTCCTGCAATATTTCAAATATTTTCATTATTATTATATCTGTCACGGTGATCAGTCATCTTTGATATTTTTTCTTCTTTGAGTTGGAGTGTCACTCTGTCACCTAGGCTGGAGTGCAGTGGCATGCTCACAGCCACCGCAGCCTTGACTCACTGGGATCAAGTTATCCTTCTGTCTCAGTCTTCCAAGTAGCTGGAACTACAGGAGCGTGCCACTATGCCTGGCTAATTTATTGTAGAGACAAGGTCTTACCATGCTTCTCAGTCTGGTCTCGAACCCCTGAGCTCAGGCAATCTTCTTGCCTCCACCTCCCAAACTGCTAGGATTGCAGGCATGAGCCACTACACACGGCTGATCTTTGATGTTATTACTGTTAATTCTGTGGCACTCCGAACTGCACCATATCAAACTTAATAAATGTGTGTGTTCTGACTGTTACACCAACTGGATACTTCCTCATATCTCTCCCTCTCCTTGGGCCTCCCTATCCCCTGAGACACAACAATATTGAAATTAGGCCAATTAGTAAATATACATTGTTTTCTAAGTGTTCAAGTGAAAATAAAAGTTGCACGTCTCTCACCTTAAATCAAAAGCTAGAAATGACTAAGCTAAGGAAGATATGTTGAAAGTCAAGACAGGTGGAAAGCTAAGACCCTTGCACCAAATGCCAGGTTGTGTATGTAAAGAAAAAGTTCTTGAAGGAAACTGAAAGTGCTACTCCACTGAACACATGAATAACAAAAAGGCAAAACAGACTTATTGCTGATAAGGAGAAAGTTTGAGTGGTTGGATAAAAGATCAAACCAGTCATAACATTCCCTTAAACCAAAGCCTAATCCAGAGCAAGGTCCTAACTCTCTTCAATTCTATGAAGGCTAAGGGAGGAGAGGATGCTTCAGTTGGAGGCTAGCAGAGGTTGGTTCATGGGGTAATGAAAGAAGCCACCTCCAAAACATAAAATTGCATGGCGAAGCAGCAAGTGCTGAAGTGGGAAGCTGAAGCAAGTTACCCAGAAGAGCGAGCTAAGATCATTGATGAAGATTTTCAATGTAGAGGAAACAGCTTTATATTGGTCATATATAAGATGTCATTTAGAACTTTCATAGCTAGAAAGGACAAGCCAATGCCTAGCTTCAAGTTTCAAAGGACACAGGGACTCTCTTATTAGGGGACAATGCTCATTTGTCATTCCAGAACTACTAGAGTCCTTAAGAATTGTGTGACATCTACTCTGCCTATTTTTTTTTTTTAAGTTGGAGTCTCACTCTGTCGCCCAGACTGGAGTGCAGTGGCCGCTCCCGGCCACCGCAGCCTCGACCTGCTGGGCTCCGGCGATCCTTTCGCCTGTCTTCCAAGTAGCTGGAACTACAGGCATGTGCTACCACACCCGGCTAATTTTTGGTTTATTGTGGAGATGAGGTCTTGCCAAGTTGCCCAGGCGGTTCTCGAACCTGTGGGCTCAGGCAATCCACTCATCTCAGCCTCCCAAAGTGCTGGGATTACAGGCTGAGCCACCGGGCCCGGCTTACTCTGCCTATATTCTATAAATGGAACAAAAAAAGCCTGATGACAGCATGTAAGTTTACAGCATGGCTTGTTGAGTATTTTAAGCCCACTGTTGAGACCTACTGCTCAGAAAATAAGATACCTTTCAAAATATTACTGTTCATTGACAATGCAATCTGATGAAGATGTACAAGGAGATGAATACTGTTTTCATGCCTGCTAACATATCATCCATTCTGCAGCCAATGCATCAAGGAGCCATTTTAATTTTTGAGTCTTATTATTTAAGAAATACATTTTTTAAGGCTATAGCTTTCATAGATAGTAATTCCTCTGATGGATCTGGGCAAAGGAAATTGAAAACTTTATAGAAAGGATTTACTGTTCTAGGTGCCACTAAGAACATCCATGATTTATAAGTAGAGGTCAAAATATCCACATTAACAGGAGTTTGAAAGAATCTGATTCCAAATGTCATGGATGACTTCAAGACTTCAGTGGAAGCAACTGCAGATGTCATAGAAATAGTAAAATAACTAGAATTAGAAGTAAAGACTGAAGATGTGACTGAACTGCTGCAATCTCATCATGAAATTTGAAGGAATGAGGTGTTGTTTCTTAGGGATGACCAAAGAAAGTGGTTTCTTGAAATGGAACACACTCCTGGCGAAGATGCTGCTATTCGAAAACAGTATTTTTGGAATAACAACAAAGCATTTTTGGAATAACAACAAAGGATTTAGAACATTATGTAAATTTAGTTGATAAAACAGCAGCAGAGTTTGAGAGGATTGACTCCAATTCTGAAAGATGTTCTATTGTGGGTAAAATGTCAAACAGCAGCAGATACCACAGAGAAAGCTTTCTCTTCCTTTCAGAAGAGTTGACTGACCTGACAAACTTTGCTGCTATCTTAAGAAACTGTCATATTTACATCCATTAAAGTACACAGTAAAAAAAAAAAAAAAGGAAATGACACAGCTACGCTAGGCTTCAGCAACCAAAACCCTCAGCAGCCATCAACATCAAAGCAAAACTCCCCATCAGCAAAAATACTACAACTTGTTGAAGGCTCAGATGACCCCTAGAATTTTTTATTTTTTAATTTTTATTTAAAAAAATTTTTTTTTGAGTTGGAGTCTCACCCTGTCACCCAGGCTGGAGTGCAGTGGCATGCTCCCAGCCACCACAGCCTCGACCTGCTGGGCTCAGGCAATC